CCTCAAGTTCAACCCAGAGACCGACTTCCTGACAGGCAAGGATGGCAAGAAATTCAAGCTGGAGGCCCCAGATGCAGACGAGCTTCCCCGAGCGGTGAGCAGGCACTGCCACCTGGTGCTGTTAGCCGCTGTAGGCCTGCCTCGGGCCCCTGCCGGTTGCTCTGTGGCCAAGACACTCCTTCCCAGCATGCCAGCATCCTGGGCAGGCAGGATGGCACAGTTAGCAAGAATGAGGCAGCTCTGTGCACTGGAGGGGAAGGTGTGGGGCCTACAAGAGCCTGTCTGCTTGAGGACGGAGAATTAGGCACCCAGCACGTCCCTGCCTCCTCCTGCAGGAGTTTGACCCTGGGCAGGACACCTACCAGCACCCTCCCAAGGACAGCAGCGGGCAGCGAGTGGACGTGAGCCCCACCAGCCAGCGCCTGCAGCTCCTGGAGCCTTTTGACAAGTGGGATGGCAAAGACCTGGAGGACCTGCAAATCCTCATCAAGGTCAGCGACATGGGGCAGGGATCGGGGGAGAACAGCCCCAGCCTGGCAGGGGCCCTCCCCTTGGCAGCAGGAAGGGCTGTGAAACCACGCGTTCTCCCTGGGCCCCAGGGAGGAAGGTCAGGACTAGGGTGGGGGCAGGGAGAGAGAGAGGTGTGGCTGCGGAGAGAGGAGCCGGGGCATCCACAGTTCTGTGTCTCCTTCTCCACTGCCCCGTGCCAGGCCGAGCTGGATCTGGCCAGCTGTGTCCAGGGCTCGCAGCCATCGGCTGCAGCTGGTGAGGGCCACCTCTGGCAGCCACGGGCAGTGGATGCAGCAAGAAGGGCACGTGTGACCTTGCACAGCAGGTCTCCACGCCTCTAGCTTGACCTGGTAGGCTCCAAAAGCCATCGACTCCTCAGTTCCCACACTTGGGCATCAGTTGGTATGGCCTGTGTTTGGGAGCTGGGCAGACACAAGGCTTCATGGTGTGGCTAGAGGCCTTAGGCCCATGTCAGACATGAATTCATCCTGTTTACTAAGAGTCGCCAGGCAGTGACACAGCCAGTATTAAGCCCACATGATAGATAAAACTGGTCACCAGCCAGGAGCAGGACACATCCTCGGGCTCCTCTGTGTCCAGCATGAGGTCAGTAGTTTTTTCCAGCCTGGGCATCTGAAGGGTGAGTGAGCAGAGACATTCCTGTCCTGGACAAGCCCCTGAGCAGCACAGGGCCTTCGAGGGGTGGGTGACGGTCTTGCCTGAGCCCCATGGACAAAGTGTGGCAGCACCAAGGCTGCAGACCCGCTGTTCTTGTCCCCCTTCCCGGGTCCAGCCAATGGCCTCTAGGAGGGCTTCTCCCTTCATCCACCTCTCACGCATGCACCATGCCCTGACCTTAGTCCTCTCTTGTCCCCCACCCAAGGTCAAAGGGAAGTGTACCACTGACCACATCTCTGCTGCCGGCCCCTGGCTCAAGTTCCGTGGGCACCTGGACAACATCTCCAATAATCTGCTCATTGGTGCCATCAACGTTGAAAATGGCAAGGCCAACTCCGTGCGCAATGCTGTCACCCAGGAGTTTGGCCCTGTCCCTGACACTGCCCGCTACTACAAGGTGGGTCCCAGTCCGTAGGGGCAGGGGTGGGGGTGCAGGGAAGGGGGGTGCTCTCCAGGACTCCACACCAATAGCTCTGCAGTTGAAGGACGCCCTGGTGCCATGGGGTGGTCCTGTGTCATCCTCACCATATACGCCTGCTCTGGGCTCCAATCCCATACCGTGGCTTTCCCCCAAAAGCCCGCCTCTATGCTGGGCACTGATGGGTAGGTCGCGCCACCTCCCCAGGCCCCTTGCAGATAGCCAGGGCCTGTGTCTGGTCACCTCTGTCCCCTCAGGGCCTGGTCTGGGCCTAATTCACCTCTGATTTCACCAGCCCTTCCTTGGGGAACAGGTAAGGAGGGGCCTCTCTAGCCTCTTGGCCTCTGAGCTTCAGGAAGCCCAGGGGCAGCAGCAAGGGACCACTGTCTTCCTCTTTCTCATACCCTCCTCACTGACAGAAACATGGTATCCGGTGGGTGGTGATCGGAGACGAGAACTACGGGGAGGGCTCGAGCCGGGAGCACGCAGCACTGGAGCCTCGCCACCTCGGGGGCCGGGCCATCATCACCAAGAGCTTCGCCAGGATCCATGGTAAGCTGGAGCCTGGGGTCTAGCCACGCCCGCTTCCCCTACTGGCAGCCCAAGGTCACCCAACCTGCTGGTGGCTGAGTCAGGCCTGGAGCCACATGCCAGGTTACTGAGCCGTGTCCCCGGCTCCTGTTTTCCACCATAGTCTCCACCCCTTCTGAGTTGTGTTGAGAGTGATGCCCACAGCTTCCCTTCACGGGAAGCCCCAGTCTTTCTTCCAAACTTGAAGATCTAAGCAATTGAAATCCAGGGCACATGGTCAGAGGATTTTTCTGATTGTGAATGTCAGGAAGGCCAAGACACAAACCAGCACACCCGCAGAAGGTTCTCGAAGGACCCCAGATGGCAAGACTAGGGGCCTCTCCCAGAGCTGTCACTGGGCTTAGAAAAGGAAGCTCTCTTGGCTGGTGAGGTTCCCTGTGCAGAGGAACGGAGACTGGCTCTGCCATCTGTGGATTGAGTGTGCCCTCTGCCTTCTAGAAACCAACCTGAAGAAGCAGGGCCTGCTGCCCCTCACCTTTGCTGACCCGGCTGACTACAATAAGATTCACCCTGTGGACAAGCTGACCATCCAGGGCCTGAAAGACTTCGCTCCTGGCAAGGTCAGGGAGCCAGGAAAGGAGGGTGGGCTGGGGACAGCCACTTTGCTTTCCCTCCTTCTATGCCCACTTCTGACCCCCCTTTTTCCTCCCATGAGCCTTTGTTCCAGCTGGTAGGGCCCTTAAATTCTCCAAGCACCCCCTCCCCCCCCAGAAAGGAAGTGTCTCCTCAGAGACGAGGGTGGAGAAAGCTCAGGCCTCACTCATTAGCTCAGGTTTGGCAGTCAGAGGCCAACAGCCTGTGCTTGGCGGGGCTCGCTAGGCCCCGCGAGTTCTACCATCGGGTCTGACCACGGCCACCCCAGCTCAGACCTGGCCTAGATCTCGGTTTGCCTGCCGGTCCACTCTGGGGGCACCCTACCTTTCTGACCCTCCGGCAGAATCGGTTCCTAAGAGCCACTCCCCCTCCTCTTACAGCCCCTGAAATGCATCATCAAGCACCCCAACGGGACTCAGGAGACCATCCTCCTGAACCACACCTTCAACGAGACCCAGATCGAGTGGTTCCGCGCCGGCAGTGCCCTGAACAGGATGAAGGAGCTGCAGCAGCAGTAAGGTCCAGCCATGCCACCTGTCTGCCTACTCCTTGGATCCCGCTCCGGGGTCCCCGGTGCAGTCAGTGCGTCATCAGAACTGGATCTGCCCCCTTCCGGCCTTGGCTTCCTGCTCCAAGATGGTGTGGTCAGGCCTCCTGCCCTCCCTTCCCTCAGCCGGCCGAGGGACACACAGGTGGGTGGGTGAGCGGGGGGAGGGCTCTTAAAAGAATGTTCCAGCCCCCTGCCTTCCCATTTTTAGTCTAATTCAGATCTTGAACAACATGCATCTTGAACAACTCCATGTAACTGTATTTATTTTTGATGACAAGACTCCCATCTAAAGTTATTTCTCCCGCCTCATCATTTCACTGGTGGCTGAAAGATTTTAAAGAAACTTTCGCTCTCATGAGGAAAATAAGAATACGGACTCAGTGACTGTTCCAGTGTGTGAGTGGTGGTGTCTGGATCGTCCCCAACTCCAGGGCTCGGGCTGGGTCTTCGTGGCCAGTCGGCAGAGGCTCCCGCTAGCCACGCCATGGCACACCTGCCACTGCGGTGGAGGACACACGGGGCGGGAACTCGCGCTACTTCTCAGCCCCGCCTCCCTGCCCTAACCCACTTCCGCCCACAGCGCGGCCTCCCCCACCTCCCCGTGTACCAGGAGCCTCCGCTTCCCCTGGGCGTAGAGTCAGCCCTGCAAACACCCCGAGGCGGGGCACAGCCCCCCTTCTTAGAGGCCACCTCGTCCGAGGTCACACAGCTGGTCCACTACGTGCTCTGTCCCCTCCCTGCCCCTCAGCCCCAGGTGGCGGCGGGCACCGTTCCGCGGCTGCTGCTGTCCCTGGGGTGACGTCCACCGGCAGTACCTCCGCCTCCATGCTCGGTGCCTGTGTGAGCTGAAAGACCAGAGCAGGAGGCAGGCCCCGCGGAGGTCCCTTCCTCAGCACAAGACTTGCCCGACAGAACAAGCGTGCGGTTTGTGCACGAGGGAGTGACAGGGCAGGGAGGACCTGCCAAAGCCATTTGGCTGAGTAAACGGTGTGGTGTCCGCCCTTGTCCAGGATCTGGCATCACCAGATGACACACAGGGTGTTCCTGGCGCGGCCAGGGTCTGGAAGTGACAGCTGTACCTCTGGTGGGAGGGACGACATGGATGGTCACCATCCCTGACCTTGGGCCAGCTAAGCCCAGGCCCCCACCTTCCAAATGCTGGTGGGAAAGAAGATGGTCGTCCCTGAAAGGTCAAGACTCCGACCAACAGCTGGCAGCTGCCCCAGGCCACCCTCTCTTGGTGACCTTAGGAGCCACCGGGCTAGGCCGGCCCAGAGCCCATGAGGCCAATGATCTCTCACCACCACGTCCTGCCATCAGGGGGAGTTCTCCAGCAGCCATCCGGGGAGAGGAAGGACATGCTGTCCCAGCTGTGGCAACGCGGTGACCTTAGATCACGGAGACAAGGGCGGCTCCTCCCTGACTGATGCTGCCCTTATTTATTAAATGTCTTTGCTGTCACCAAGAGGCAGAAGTCCACAGGAACAGTGACTTCAGGGTAGCTCCAGAAACAGGGCCAGGATGGCGAGGGAGGGGACAGTCCGGTGGGGCACACACTCTGCTCCTTGGCACCTGCAGAAGCTGCTGTTGTCTCCATGGCCAGCGGCACCTCCTTCCCCGGACGGCGGGATGGGGGTGGGGGTCTGTCCAGCCCCAGGGCTAGCTGCTGGTCCACCAGGAGAGGAGGCCCAGGCCTGGCTCGCTAATGGATCCCTGCCAGGGGTAGACAGAGAACAGGCACATATCCACCTCAAGCGCTTGAACAAACACAGGAGGCAAAGGGGCCCTTCCTTCCGGGCGCCTGGCACCAGCAGAGGGAACGGTGGTGACACATGCACACACCGGCTGGGGGATGGGGAAACCCAGGAGCCACACCAGCGCCCCCAGCTGCCGTACAGGAACACAGCCCATGCGCGCCCTTCCTGCCCCAGGGCCTCGGCTCAGTCAGGTACCCTTCCTCACGCCAGGCCTGCCCAAACACGGGCACCGGCAGGCCAGTCCCGGACACGCGCTGAGTCCTGCCAGAAAGTCCCAGCCTCCAAATACACGCAGAGGGGATGGCCTTGACAGAGAATGGCTACCCCTGAGCGAACAACCTGCAGCATATGTTAGACCAGAAAAGCCCCCTAGCAGGCCCCCAAAACGTGTCCCGCTTTGTCCTGCATCACAGTCTCACCCCATGAGGGAAGACGACAACCCGAGTCAGATCTGGCTGGTCGCAGCTCCCCTGCCACCTCATGTCTGTACAGGGTCTGGTACAGGCACAGCCCTGACTGAGGGTCACCCGTCCCTGACGCCCCGCCTTTGGTTCGCTCCCAAACCCCTGCCCTGGTCTCTCTCCCTTGGCCTTGTCTTGCTGGGCAGCCTTGTCACCCAACTTGGGCCCTGTCCCTCCTGCGGTCAGGAGCCTGACCCCCCCACCTTCCCCGACAGCCGTGGCAGCTTTGTCACCTCACGGGTGTTACGCCCTGGCCTGTGACCTGCGAAACAGGCTCCCCAGGGAGAAGTGACCGCCTAACAACCAAACAGGGACCCGCACCCTGATCTGCGGGGAGAGGGGTTCGAGGCGGTGAACCCGGGGCAAACGCCCTCAGAAGCGGCTCCCCCGCCACCCCACCGCCTGGGTTGTCCCCACACCATCCCCATGGTTCTGGCAGCGGCATCAGGACATCTCACCACAAGCGTGTACGGAGCCTCCTTCTTTGGCAGCTCCTCACTGGAAGAGGTGGCCTCTGCCGAGCTGGGCCCCGTGGGGGACGTGTCCACAAAGCTCTCGTCCACCACCCGGAAGCGGATCTCCTCGCCGGTGTCCATGTACAAGTCGTGCGCTCCTTCCTCCGTCTCGTACTCCCACACCCACACCTGCTCTGCCTCGTCGCTGGGCGGGGTGCAGGGTCAAGGCAACAACCAGGCATGGGGGAGTCTGAGGGTGGGGTTGGGGTGGGGGTTCCTCCCACAATACCCGCCCCCAGGAAGATCCAATCCCAGAAGATCACCGTGGCTGGGAGGTCCAGGCAAAGCAAGCCCACACCATGTGCAGAAGGCAAGGTTGGGCCCACCCTGGGCCCCACAGTGAAAAGCAGGAACGCTGGGGTACCAGGGCCCTGGCTGGGAACATACATCCTCAGGGCAGGAAGGAGGCTCAAGGGCAGAGCGGGTCCCCCGTCTCTTGAGGCAGGAAGGACGAGGGCCTCTTGCTGCCTGGGGTCCTCTCCCTGCCTGGGTGTCCTCTCGGTCCAACTGCCAAGTTCAGATCTCGGCTCCGCCAGCTGTGACCGGGGCCAGGCCCAAGCTCTGTGCCTCAGGTCCCCATCTGTAAAACAGGAATTGTAGCAAGGCCTGCCCTCACAGGGCCGTGGTGGAGGTAATAAAGTGCTTTCCCCAGGACCTGCACACTTGGTCCTGGAGTGCTGGCTGAAGCTGTCCTATGCCCTCTGTGCAGTGCGACTCCACACCCCTTCCCAACCATGCCGCGCGACCATGACCCACACACAGCACAAGGACTTTCCCAGTTTTCAGGAGGACAGACGTGGCAGATGGAAGGTCACGTGCCTGAGGGCCCGTGGCCGGCAAGAGGCCCAGCCGGGCAGGGCCAGGTTTTCTGACAAGCTCTGGAGTCACACACAGACCCTGCACCTGGCCCGCAGAGACCCAGGCAGAGCGGATCTGATGAACCATCCGGTGAGGGCAGCAGCACCCCCGAAATCCCTACAAAGCCCAACCCCTCCCTCAGTGCACACCGAGGGGCCACAGCGCCCTCTAGTGGCGATGCTGCAAAGGGTCCTGCCTTAACCCCTCTGTGTCAGGTCCCCCCCCCCCGCTAGGCACTGTGGACAGAGTCCTGACAAGACGGG